CTTCATCATCAGCTTTTCCCAGCTGAAAGTGAACCAGGAAATTCTTCTGACAATATAATGTTTATTTTAGGGATACCTTGTGCAACCAACAACCTTTTGTGAGTCCCTTTACTGGAGGTGTGAGGCATGTATTGCTGGAAAGATGATTAAAAGGACCTCCGTGTGATTCCATTTGGCTTTGATTTTCTCTCTTTTAAAGGCCAAACGGATGTTTGAAAAATGAAAAAACAAAAGAAAACTCTGACTTCCCGATAAATTAGCCGAAGTTCTCTCCTTCCTAAACGACTGAAAACGGTTCAGTTTTGACAGGGAGGGAAGCTGCTCTCCTTTTTTCTCCGACTCCAGCTACTCAAACCTGTTTCTTTCCCATCTCCTCTATTCAGATTTGCCTCCTGACCTTGTTTATGGCCCTTAGTTTAGCTGGCAGTAATTAGCAGCTCGCTGGATCTGCGGCTAAGAGCTGTCCGTGCATGCAGCAATAAACGGAGGGGGAGAGACCACGGTTTTTATGGCGATGGGTAGTAATGGAAGGTCAGGAGGTCCCCCTTTGGCCTTTTGCTAATTTGATTTCTATTTTCCATCCCCCCACTCCAAATGAAATTAGACCCTACTCCTTGCATACATAGTACTAGGGAGATGGGGAAGCATTGTAAGTGCCCGTTTCACTTATTCTCAGCCTTAGCAACGTTAAGCTGTGTGGACTACACCTCACATACGGTTTTGGAGTGGACAGTTTTCCACGGAGATTGCTGGAACAAGGAGAGAAGCAACCTAAAACTACGGAGAAATTTCCTAACGATTGCGAGAACAATCATCCAGTGGAACAGCTTGCCTCCAGAAGTGGTGGGCGCTCCATCGCTGGAGGCTTTTAAGAAGAGACGGGACAGCCCTTGTCTGAAATGGTATAGGGCAATGGTTCTCAACCTTTTTAATGCCGTGATCCCCAACTGGTCGTAAGTCGAGGACTACTCAACCAGTTGTAAGTCGAGGACTACTCAACTGGTGCAGCACCGTTTGCAGAATGGGACTTTTGGCGGGCTCAGCAGGGCAGAGACAGCCTGGACAATTCCTATTGGCTTTTGAAAGCCAATAGAATTAGACTCTATTCAAGAGAGTCTATTCTATTGGCTTTCAAAAGCCAATAGAATAAAAGGGAGTAGCACAGCTAAGGAAAAGGGGGGAAAAAATGGCGGACTGCGTTTGGCGACCCCCGTGAAATGGTCATTCGACCCCAAATGGGGTCCCGACCCACAGGTTGAGAACCATTGGTATAGGGTCTCCTGCCTGAGCACGGGGTTGGACTAGAAGATCTCCAAGGTTCCTTCCAACTCTGTTATTTTATTTTAATGTTAATTGCTTGTCGAAACAGTAGAAATTTCTCCTAGACCTTCCATGCTACTCTCTTGCTCATTTCCCTTAGAAATGCTGCTGGTTATTGTGTTCTGATTATCTGTACAAAGAGTTCTAACACAAGAAGAATGCTCTAGTCTAAGAAACAGTCAACCCAAAGTTCCCAAGGGTTGATCAAAATGCTGCAGGGCCAAAAATGCTGCAGGGTTATTTGAAGGACAGTCTCTCCTGATTATATCTGCCCAGTCCGCCAGAGTGGAGAGGTGGGGAATGTAGTGGACCCAGAAGAAGGGCCTTCTCCAAGGTGACTCCCTCCCTTTGGAACACTATCCCTGCAGAGATTAGACTGCCCCCCCCCCCAGTTTGACATTCTTTTGCAAGAACCTGAAGATCTGGTTCTGCCAATTGACCTAGGGAACCCTGAGTTGGATGGAGCCCATCAATTGGAGTGTTGGACTCATTGCTGTCACCAAGGGGCTGGTTGAGGGTTATTGTTTTTATTGTTGTATATTGGGTTTTTATTTTTTGTAAGCTGGCCAGAGTCCCTGAGAGCAAGCGGGTGGCCATATAAATGTTATGAATAAAATACAAATAAATAAAATAAACCCTGTGTCCCCCTTTTTCTGGCATTCAGGAATAGACTCTTTAAACACAGAAGCCTATTTTAGAGGTTGGTGATGGTTCTACTCTCCACCAATCTTGTTTATTAAACATTGAGCCAAGTCTTCTTTAGAGACTTTTGGGGAGAATCAGACGGGCAGTTGAAGAAGTGCATACACTGTCTGAGCAAACTAGAAACAGACAGGTTATAAAAGCAGTGGGGAAAAATTTGGAATAAGGTGGGCTTCTTAGATGTATCTGGTGGGGACCACCACATGACATTGAATGCTGGCAAGATGGGCCTAGCAACGTTTTGACAGGGCTTTGTTCATGTTCTCCTAATACTGATTGGCCCTTTAGTCAATTATCAGTAAGCGATGGTGGATTCTTGAAATGTACTGCTGTACTTCAAGATCTCTAGCAAAGGCTACTCAGTCGGTCTCATTGCCATCCCTAGAATCTAGTTGTATTTTGGAAAATAGCAAGACAGCTGCTGAACTTGATTAAGGACTAGGAAGGTTCGCAAGGTAAATGTATACGGAAAAATGTTCTTTTTTTCCTTCCTAAGTAATCTCAATCAATACGGAAGTGGTTTTGTTTTAAGTAAAAAGATAAAAAAGCAAAAGCTTTTTTTTGTTTTTTGTTTGTTTTTTAAAAGGCACTTTTCAGTGCCTGCCTTTTAAACAACATGTTTTCTGCCCGTTCAATCTTATCCAGGTTAGACAAAGAGGATTTAAACCACAAGGGAAAAAAAAATATTCACAGTGTTCATTCTACAGAGATGTATCTTGATTCGAGAAAGAATTCAAGGGGATAAGACATGAAAAGGAATGGGGAAAAGTTCCTCCCCCCTTTCTTGTCCTGAAATAAACTGGGATATCACCAAGGCTGTCCCATAATTCAGGCTTGTAGTTTAATGTCACAATTTATCCTTAAGCCCGCTTCCCCGCTGCACTCAGCTGGCAGCCAGCTCATTCAGTCACACGTGATTAAAAGCAATCAACCTGACTCAATTAATGGTGGGTGCCACGCTATTTTAAAAACAATCTGGTTTCTGAGCTGTTCTATCCAGTTAAACGAAAGAACAAATGAAGCAGAGAAGAAATTAAACACCAAGCATCTGTATTGCTCCCCAGCGAGTATGTTCCATTGCTCTAGTGTGCCATGTCTTGGATTTACACAAGGATACACAAGTGGGTTAAGGTATGTGCATATGGTTCATCTAGGGACACCGATTGAAGGCTTCACGGCTGTTGAGGCATAAGGGAGGTTGAAACACTCACCAATTGCTTGATGACTTGGCCCAAAGATGTTTTTCCAAAAGGCAACTGGACTTTGAGGTTCTCCGAGCTTCTGGGTTGATTTCCAAACATTTCATTACCAGACTAGGTAACGTCTTCAGCCGGGTTTAGGGGATGTCACTGTCAGTGTTCTTCTGTTTATCGGGTGTGGATGTGTCGAGTGAGGGTCTTGTAATGGGTCAGGTGTGAGTCATCAGTGAGAGTCTTGTGATGGGTCTTGTGATGGGGAGGTTATTCAGATCAGCGTCATTGAGAGGTGAACTGCTGGTGGGAGGGGGGGCTTGCATGAGTTGGTTGAGGGTCAGTGCTGTCTCTGATTGGCTGTGCAGTTGATTTGGATTCTGAGGGGTTCATAGGCTGGTTATAAGTCAATGTGTCTCTTGATGGAATTGCTTGAGGACTTTCTTTGTTTTTGCTTGAAGACGTTTTGCTTCTCATTCAAGAAGCTTCTTCAGTTCTGACAGTTTTGAAGTTCTGAAGTCAGAACAAAAGAAAGCTTCTTGAGTGAGAAGTGAAACGTCTTCAAGCAAAAACAAAGGAAGTCCAGTTGCCTTTTGAATAAGCACAACTGTCACCTGGATGACTGACAATCTCTATCGATATTGATGACTTGGCCTTCCTGATTTTGTTCCTCAGTACTCCATGTTTAAAACAAAGTGTAAGAAAGCATGTTATTGACGCCGAATAGCCATGAGGGCTTTCGGGCGGAGAGAATATAGATCAAGAACAAGCACAAGCAAGAGTGTGTTTTCCTTCTTGTTAAAGGCTACGGAGTAGCAGGAACCTTAACACAGGGTCAATGAAACAAGGGAGAGACCTGCTCCCTTCCTTCCAATTGTCCTGTTAAATGTCATCGATTCTGTTCTGCCATTAGTAATGAAGAAATAGCCAGATGGTTCTCAAAGCCTGCAAGATGAGTGGGGAACTGGAGGTCAAGGAAAAGTAGGTAGAGTTTGCAAGGAAAACAGGCTGCCTCCCATTACATAAATCTGAGACAAAAATACATAATCGTAGCCATCCAGGGTTATAATAAAAAGATCCAGATGGTAGCAAAAGTTAGAAACCCAGTTTTACACCCACTAGGCAAATTTGGGCCAGTCACAGGTTGTCTGAGTTCATATAATATACTTGGTTGTTGATGTAATCCAATTTTATGGTCTGATGTGTTCAATGCACTGAATCATACAAGGGAAAAGCAGGATGGTGTAAAGCAGGGGTCTTCAAACTTGGCCCTCTTATGACTTGTGAACTTCAACTCCCGGAATTCCTCAGGCAGCGTGCCTGGCTGAGGAATTTTGGGAGTTCAAGTCCACAAGTCATAAAAAGGCCACGTTTGAAGACCCCTGGTGTAAATAGTCAAAGAATGACCTTGGAGAAAGTTTGAACAGACAGTAACAACCACACACACCCCAGCCTGTTTTTTTTTTTTATATATGATCTATCTTGAAAGGTCAACAGTTGGGTTCACATAACACACCAATGCATTACAAGCAAAGAAGATGGTTTAGCTTAGCTTAGCTTGCCATGGGAATGAAGCCACTAGACCTTTAGTTGGCTTGTTGTGTGAACACAAGTTGCGCGTGTCCGTGGTCAGAACAGACGGTCAATTGGTTGTCTCCCTTGTTCTGCAATCACTAGGCCTTCCATCAGGGAAGATGCAGTGTGTATTCTCATTACAATAGACCCAAAATACTCAGGAAATCAAAAGCTAAATGTTTCGTGATGAGTAGCTTAGATGAGGGTTCTTACATTCAGCTTTGGCACAGATGAGGCAAGCAGTGGTGCAGTTGAAGAAATTCAAGATCCCAGCTACAGCGACACTGATGTCAGTGTTGCTAGGATGGAGGTTCAAAGTTGTGAATCTCTGGAACTGGAGCTTGAGGAACTCTTCTGGAGCAACCTTGAAATGAGGAACCTGAAACGGAAAGAGAGAAACAGGTTATTTGTTTCTCAGAAGAGACAAGAAATGTTGGGGGTCCTTGATGCTCTCTGAGCTTAGTTGTTTTCTTGCAGACATCTCATTACCTAACTAGATAACATCTAGGAGAAGAAGGACGAGGAGGAGGATGAGGAGGAGGAGAACCAGGACAACTGTGGGGTCCTTGATGCTCTTTGAGCTTAGTTGTTTTTTTGCAGACATCTCATTACCCAACTAGATAACATCGTCAGTGCTAGAAGGAGTGAGATTTAAGGAGAGGAGGGGGAAGAGGAGGACTGTGGGGTCCTTGATGCTCTCGGAGCTTAGTTGTTTTCTTGCAGACATTTCATTATTCAACTACATAACATCATCAGTGCTAAAAGGGAGACAGGTTTACTCTCAGTCAGATTCCCTTCTAGCACTGCTGATGTTACATAGTTGGGTAATTAAACATCTGCAAAAAAACAACCAAGCTCAGAGCACTAAGGACCTCTCACTTCTATCCTGAGTTATAAATACTATCTTCTATCAAGACAAGAAATTATCCATTTACTAACGGCAAATTATAGCTTTCCACAGGACAGGTTCCTAAGAAATGAAGATCTTCAAACAGAAGTCGGATAGTCATCTGTCTGAAATGCTGCAGCAGATTCTGCCTGGAGCCAATGGTTGGATGAATAATTGCTCAAGACTCTTAGATTCTATGAGACATCATATCTCAGAAACATTAAAGGCCACACAGAAGCTTCAATTAGTCCAGAGTGCAATGGCCAAACGATTGGCAGGTACTTGCCAATACAGGCACGGCACACCAGCGCTCCAGGCACTGATTTCCTATCCGCTTCTAAGGACGATTTAAGCTGCTGTTTTTGACCTTTAAAGCCACGCATGGTTTGGGGCTGAAGGATCACCTGGTCCATTTCTATTTTGACCTGCTGAATGGGGAGCTCCTGGGTGAATCTGCTCAGAGTTTGGAGCAAAGGAAAACGGAGGTAGGATTTTTTTTCCTTGGTGACACCAGGATTACAAAATTCCTGCCTCTTGAAATTCAGCCAGCTCCTTCATCACCTAGGCTTTGGGGGAAAAAGGACTTTAAAGTGGGCTCTTGATCCTTAAAGGGTACCAATCTTTTGTCTTCATTATTTGGTTGGTTGTTTCCACTATATTTAGAGGGCTTCCTTAAGTTGCTTTGTACCAGATCTGTTTTAATAATATGAGGTAACTTGCTGAGAACTTGTTGATTACTGTGGGTAACAAAAAACAACAACAACAATGTACAACAAAATTTCCATAGGGGATTGCAAAGGCTGTGCAGATCAGCTCCGATACAGTTCAAATCCAATCGTTGATCAACTGAGATTATTGTTCAGACCATTCAAATCTATTTAGACAATTACGTTTGAATTGATGCTTTGATTTAGAACTATTGAATTGGTCTGATTTGATTGTCTGAGTCAGTTTGAAGTGGAAAGAGGGGCTGGGCTTCTGGAAAAACATTCTCAAATCTCTGAATTTTGGGAGAATTTTTCCCCTGAGCAATAGACCTGTCACCCCAACTACAAACTGCAATCCCATTCAGAGCTTTGGCCCAAATGCTTTCCAATCCCAGCTGAACCATCGTCCAGCTGTCTCACGTTGCCTGACGGATACATAATGCAAAATTCAGGGCCATCGTAGAATGTTTGCTTGCCAACTTCTCCAAATTGCTCTGTTTTAAAAAATTCATTACAAATAATTCCATTGGGCCAGCAGGTTTTCCAAGATGTTACATCTGTAGAGCTAATTTAAAATCATTAATATTATATTATTAATAATATATTAATATTAATATTAATGAAAGAGCTCAGTCAATCAGGGGAAAGGAATACGAGTTTTCAGATGCCTTGGCAAACACTGCAACACTATGCCATCAGCAAAGGAAACTGCAGCAATTTTTTATTTTTATTATTATTTTTATTATTATTTTTTTTATTATTATTATTATGGATCATCGCACAGTCAGCCAGATGTTCAGACTGGATTTGGCATTTTGTCTACCTATCGAGTCCTTACCCAGGACCTGGGATAGGCAGATGTGGATGTTTGATGGTATTACAGATATCGTCGCAGGATGGAAGCAGTTCCTAATAAGGCGCCTTTTGCAATTGACTAATAGCGAATTTGTCAATGCCAATGGTGTTCAAGTGGTGCTCCAGTTGTTTTGGGATTGCACCCAAGGAGCCTATGACTATTGGTACTACCCTTGCTTGCTTTTGCCACAGTCTTTCTATTTCTATTTGTAGGTCTTTGTATTTTGTTATCTTCTCCAGTTCTTTCTCTTCTATTCTGCTGTCTCCAGGCACTGCCACGTCCACTATCCAGACTTTTTTGTCTTTCTTATCGACAATTGTTAAGTCTGGGGTGTTATGTTGCAGGTGCTTGTCTGTTTGAATTCTGAAGTCCCAGAGCAGTTTAATTTTATCATTTTCTATGACTTTCTCTATTTTATGATCCCACCAGTTTTTGCTTACAGGCAAATGATATTTTTTGCAGATCTTCCAATGCACCATTGTTGCTACTTTGTCATGCCGCTGCTTGTAGTCAGTCTGTGCAATCTTCTTGCAACAGCTTACCAGGTGGTCCACTGTTTCTTCAGCTTCTTTGCATAGGCGGCACTTACTGTCTATTGCTGTCTTCTCAATTTTGACTTTATATGCATATGTCCTTAAGGCTTGGTCTTGTTTATTATTATTATTATTATTATTATTATTATTATTATTATTATTATTATTATTATTATTATTATTATTAAATGTTGCACACATCTTGGGACACGAGATGTATGGAACCCCGCGCAGGAAGGAGCTGTGAGAAAATGACAGAGATCAGAAACTCTGGCAAAGGGCAGGAAGAAGGAAATCTCATCTGCTTTGTTTTGTGTTTCAACGTGCATGACTTCAAAGTAACATCAAGGAGAAACATCTGACTATTTTTCATTAGGAGGAAGATCAATTCCTCGTTGCTTTTGTTCCTGGGATATCCCAAAGCAACTCAACCAGGTCTGCAATTTTTGTTCTTGTTTGAGGGGAAGATTATTAGCTATCTGCCCTGTCTACTCTACCAAGGGTCTAAGCCAGGGGTCCCCAACTCCCGGGCCGTGGACCAGTACCAGGCCTCAGCAGGCCAGCAACTGGTCCACACAAACAAGCAAAGCCCCATCTGTAGGATGCAGGCAGCACACAAAATCATGCACTCCCTAGCCCGCAGAAAAACCTTTCTCCATGGATCCAGTCCCTGATGCCCAAAAGATTGGGGACCTCTGGCTAAGCTGGGGCTGTCCAACCTTGCCAACATTAGGACTTGTGGACTTCAACACCCAGAATTTCCCCAGCCAGCGAAGCCGAATTCAGATCCTGCCCAGGCTAGGGAACTCTGAGAGTTGTAGTCCAGAAGTCTTTAAAGTTGGTAAGGTTGGACACCCCTGGTCTAAGCAATTTGCGAGGAGATCAGAAAGTCAAAGAACAATCTGCCTTGATTTTGCTCCACAGCCTTCAGGTCAGGCTTGGGAAAGTCAGAGGCAGGAGACACCATAGTCCTCCAGCTAAGAAGCTTCAGTGAAAGGAGTTGAGGCATCTGTGGCCTTGCTCAGCAGTCCTAGATGGAATTTGACAATTGCATCACCTGCCAGTGCTTAGGCAGAAGAGCAGAGAAGCGAGAGAGGCTTGGAGTCAATGCCACTCAGCCCTGCACTCTCAAATGACCAGTCACAATTCTTACTTCATATCCCTCTTGCACTTTCTGACAAATTCTCCTTGCTCACTGCAGATCGTTTGTCCTGATTCTCTCTCTGGTTCTGCAAAAGTTTTTGTAGGACAATTCAGGGCAAGGTCTGTCACCGATCCTTCACATTGAGTGAAAAGAAGATCCAGCCATAATTCTTACAGCATTTCTTCAAACTAACCAATTATTGATGCATCAAGACTCCAGAAACTAGTGCCTTAACTCAATCAGATAAATAAAATATAGGACACTATTAACATTATGGACTTATAGAGAGGAAAGACACAGCAGATAGCATGATCCATGTTTCCTAAAATATTTTTTAAAAATCACAATGGCAGAGGTATCACAAAATACACTCAGAAAATCAGATATCCTGGGCATCAAACAGGAAGCAAAATGTCAGGGTCACTTTTAAAGACTTACAGAGGTGTCAAGTTTCTTATGCTTTGACAGGACATGACATTCTGCTCCTGTCCCAATTGTCCTTCAAGAAAAAAAAAAGTTTGGGAGAGTTTTGTCCTAGACATAGACAAAGCTATGAATTTCACTCAAGGGCATGGATGCCGTACGAGGTCCTTGTGTTGTCTTCTTCTCACCCTGGACCCTTTATTTAGTCTTCCTCTAACTTCCTGGGATCTTGCTGACTCCCCCCCCCCCTTTGAAATGCTCTCCTGAGTCTCTTTGCTCCTGTTCATGTGAATTCATCAGTTTCGAAGCTGCTGCAAAATTTCTGGAAGAACCACCAAGACTGCAGAAACCAAACTATTTGATAACATCCTTTCTAGGACAAAGAGGAACTTGATAGCTGGTTGAAAAAAGAAAATTAAGAACCGTGAGATGAATCCAGGTATTTTTTTTTTAAAAGGTAGGGCCGATGGGATGGTGTTAATCAGGATAAATATCTGAAGAATAGCTCATGGTGGGAATCTGACACTGACAAATGTTCTTGAGCTCAGCTTGAGCCAGGAAATTAACTCGTTGTTGGCAACAGAAGTAGAGAAGGCAAAGGAAAGAGAGGAAGTAGAATGGACTGAAAGGCCAAACGGGGCCTCTGGCAGCAGGAAGTGGGCCATCTGAACTCAATAAGCTACTATAATAGCCTTTCAGTTACCAATTCAACTTGCATTCATTTATTTTGATACTGTCAGTGGCTGGTTGGGTATATTGTGTGAAACGGTCAGGTTATCGTGCCTGCAACTGGCCATGACCATTTTAAAGTTTGACATGCTCCCTCTCAAAGTAATTCATCAGGGCATTTCATTTATTTTACTTTCTCCTGCAAAAAAGAAAAAAAAGTGAGAAAAATTACAGATTACAGAATAACAGTTGGACGGGACCTTGGAAGTCTTCTAGTCCAACCCCGGCTTAAGCAGGAGACCCTAGACCAGGGGGAGGCAACCTTGGCTCTTCTATGACTCATGGGATTCTGGGAGTTGAGGTCCACAAGTCATAAAAGAGTCAAGGTTGCCTACCCCTGCCCTAGACCATTGCAGACAAAAGGTTCTAATATTGTTTAAAGGAGAATATTGGGTTGAGATGAAGGGTCCTTGGTGCTCTTTGAGCTTGCTTGTTTTCTTGCAGATGTTTCATTACCCAAACCTGATAACATCATCAGGGCTAGCAAGAAAACAAGCAAGCTCACAAAGATGATTAGGGGACTGGAGGCTAAAACATATAAGGAATGGTTACTGGAATTGGATATATGTAGTTTAATGAAGAGAAGGACGATGGGGGACATGATAGCAGCCTTCCGATATCTCAGGGGCTGCCACAAAGAAGAGGGAGTCAAGCTATTCTCCAAAGCGCCTGAAGACAGGACAAGAAGCAACGGATGGAAACAAATCAAGGAGACCAGCAATCTAGAACTTTCTGACAGTTAGAACAATTAACCAGTGGAACAACCTGCCTCCAGAAGCGGTGAATGCTCCAAGACTGGAAGTTTTTAAGAAGAGACTGGACAGCCATTTGTCCGAAATGGTATAGGGTTTCCTGCCTGAGCAGGGGGTTGGACCAGATGACCTCCAAGGTCCCTTCCAACTATTATTATTATTATAGCATCAAGGACACCTCATTGTCTATTTTGCATGGAATTCATGCAAATCGTGCCCTTAGATTTTTCCCAGTCCTGCTACCTGATATGATGGGATGTAGTCTGTAATTGGGTCATAGTGTTTGTAGGTATTAATTTATGTTTTTAATTTATATACATATTTTTAAAAAACTTTTTATGATTATGATTGTAAGTCACCCAAAGTCACCAGGCAGTAAGATAGGCTGCCAATAACTTTAATAGATAGATGATAGACTGACAGACAGGGTTCCCAGGAGGGAGGGGGTGCATTCCAAAAGAACAGAGACAGCTCAGTTCAGACAGCTTGTGTAGAAGTCTGAACTTGGCCGGACCTGCATCGGAGACATCACTCAAATCTTTCTTGCAAACTCATGTCTGAGTCATGCAATCAACAAGGCAACAAATAGCCACAATTCATTTGAGAATGCTTGTTATTGACCGGTGGACTATCAATCATCCCTCTCCCAAACTTGGCAATAAGAGACCAGCTCAAAAGATGGTTAACTGATAGGAAGATTGTAGCAGGACTGAATGAGATGAATCATAAGAAGCTGGTCCTGATGGATCAGAAATGGATCAGCTCAAGGCAACACTAGGCTTACGAAATATTAATTCAAGAACATCATCTGGAAATGTATCATACGGATTTGAGGTTGAAAACTTCAAACAAAAAGGTGGAATTGGTTAAATACCAGATGCTGAGATACCAGATTTATTTCTATCACAGAGTGAAATTCCACACTCTTTAAACATCCTCCCACTATTTTCAGAGGTTTATCTCAAAACGTGGAGGTCCAAACTTTCCAAAACCACAAGCATGTTTTAGAGGGAAACAATTAAATGTGTCTGTTTTTCCTAGAACTTTGACCAGCAGAAAGTTCTCCAAGTTTTTCAGATATTTCTCCAATCAGAGATGAACATTCCTGACTGATCGGCTGCAAATGTCTCCTCCAGCCATTTTGAGGTGACAAGACGGCACAGTGAGGTTCAGCACCCTCCCCAAAGGCAGGATAACTTCCATCCATTTTGAGAGGAACTAAATGAAAATCAGATGAAAACAGATGGGCAAGTTGGTTAAAATGGATTATGTTTAAATACGTAAAAAGTATTTTAAAATGGAAAGGGGAAAGGGGCTAAAATCCTGCCCATTGTGATAGAGACAGGATGGATGGATGGATGGATGGATGGATGGATGGATGGGTGGGTGGATGGGTGGGTGGAATAGATGGATGATTGGATGGATGGATGGATGGATGGATGGATAGATGGATGAATAGATGGGTGGGTGCAGAGATAACATGGATGGGTGGGTGGATGGGTGGAGAAATAGATGGATGGATGGGTGGGTGGGTGGGTGGAAGAATAGATGGATGGATGGATGGTGGAATAGGATGGATGGATGAATAGATGGGTGGGTGGGTGGATAATATGGATGGATGGATGATGTTAGGAACATCTAGAAAAAAAATCTAGAAAAAAAAGACATTGATCCTGAGAGTTTCTAGGTAGAAAGCAAGTCCTGTTTTTACCTTTGAGGATTTTAAAAGCACAAGCTCCAATTTTCCACTGGGAGCAAAAATTTATGCCACTCACCTCTTTTTCCCCACAGATATTGCTGATGATAGAGCTGGAAGCAGGACTTGACGATGGACCCAGGACACCAACCACTCCTTTGGGAAGGATCTGACACACTGGTGATCCCCAGGGAGAGAGTCAGCCAGCAAGCAGAAGAGGAAAGAAAGATTACTGGTATTCTCAAGTGAACTTATAAGCAAGAATATCAACACCGCCTTGCAGGACTGGAAGTATGACTCATAGTTTTGCTTCTCATCCAAGGAGCTTCTTCAGTTCTGACTGAATGGGGGAGAATGGAAGGACTGATATCCCTTGCAGCCATTTGGTCATTAGACTTTTTCTGAGAGTCATTGAGGCCACTTGGAGGTGACCCTGAGAGCACAGATCAACCTCCAAGTGGCCTCAATGACCCTCAGAAAGAGAGCTAATGACCAGATGGCTGCAAGGAATATCAATCCTTTCATCCTCCCCCATTCAGTCAGAGCTGAAGAAGCTCCTTGGATGAGAAGCAAAACGTCTTCAAACAAAACAAGGACGTCCAGTTGCCTTTTGAAAGAAAGCACCTTTGGGACAATCGGTAAGGGAATACTGAGAATATACCTGTGGCAAATCAAGTCTACCTTGGTTTCTCTCTCCATGTTATTTATGGTTGCACAGAATAGCTATCCCACCTTGGGTTGAAGGAAACCGTAGCATGCTTACCATGCCAACCTTAGCAACAACTAATCAGTAAAGAAAAAGAAGAAATCCAGACTGGAATTTCAGACCTCCCTGTGATTCCATTCTCCTTTGAAAAAGTTGCTGCAACTCTGACATCCATTATGGAAAAGCCACAGAAGAAAAAGTGTATTGTCAAGAGGTTAGGACTGAACATAATGGTAACTTTCTGCTTCCTTCTCTTCCTTGAACCCTGAATGCATAATGTAACGAACACTGTGAGGATTCAGCTAGGAGCACAACTCCAGAGAGTATTTCTTAGCTCTTGGCTTATTAAGTCATCCTGCCTGTAACAGGGAGAATAACCTCAGTTGAATGGAGGGATGATGGAAACTGCAGCAGCTTCTGCCAAATCTCTCCTATTGTAAAAAAACAAAGACATTCAACGCGCGAGGTGATGATTCTTTAGGAAATCATGCCTATGTTTTTTCCCCTTGTTTTTTTCCTATCTGCTTGCAGATCTAAAGAAATGTTTCCCAGGGGTCAAGAGAACTATCTTACAAAATAGGCAGTGAAGCACAAAGCCAATTGTGGGGCATGCCAAGATGAAATAAAAATGGATGGCGTTATCAAGTCTTAGGGTTGAGCCTTCAAATGCCGATTCGTCACTAATGGTTTCATTTTCGCTTGAATTTTCCACATACGGACTCAGAGAGAGTAGCTCATGATATCCACGTTTAGGATCAGAGGGACATTCCCCACTTATCCTAAGGATAGGTTTCTTGGACTCATCTCATGTTCTCTTTGTGCTGGACATAGGCGCTAATAACAATGATCTCCTCAAATCCAACCTTTCTGGAAATCCATGTTCTCACCCTAGTCAGATGCCCCCAGGTCTTTGGGACACAACAAAAGTGGAGAGATGGTTTACTTGTATCGCATTTAATCCTGATGAAAGCCAAGGAAGTCCCAATTTCTTCTATTAACTCAGCTACATCTACTTTGGATTTATCTTTCGGCAAAGTGCCCAGAACAAAACTTATAACAAACTCTTCTCAGCCGTCGAAGGTAAACCAGCCTGGGAAATTAAAGTCATGCATGCTAATACTGCTTTTATTATATGGTTATAATAACAGAATCTTGCACGTCTGAATATGTTTCCTCCCTCCCTCCTTTTATCTTCATGAGAACTGGAGACCATCCTATCTGACATGTTTTCTTAGATTACAGTTCTGATCGGGGCTTAAGTTCCTTTTATCTACTATTTTGATTTTGGCTCCCTTGTTCCTCAAGGTTATTCCTTCTTCCTTTTACCTCTTGCTACACCTCTGAGTCTTGAGAGACTTGGAGGTAGAAATAAATTAATTTGTGTGGAATTCCTTCGCTACTTTCCTCTTTCCTCAGGGATTAAAGAGGTTTTGAGATCAAATGAGCTTTCCCTTCTTCCATGCGACTCTCAGTTACGGACGAGAGATTAACCTGCACACCTAATTTTGTTCCTGGGCCTCTCCTAAGAAGCAAAAGGAGGCGAACACTGTCCTTCTTAAGCATGGTGAGATCTCAGAGCACCAATATACCCACCAACTCACACTCTTGCCCATCCTGTTAGGTCTCAATAAGCTGGGAAGTCTAGCTAAATCTTTTGAAATGTTCCATGGTCCTTGCCAACGAGGGCCAGAGATCTTCCCATTCATTTTGTCAAATGAAATGCCTCCAGGTTCTTAGAACAGAGAGAAACTGTTGAAAAAGATTCATGATGCCGGAATCCACAGGAGACAGTTTAATGATGAGTGGGAGGGTTCAGTAACTCTGGACCTTCTGAGGAACCATGGCTGTTGGAGACGGCTGCAGCTACATAGTCAAGATTTGGTTAGAGATCTGGTTGAAATTTTAACTCAGTATGGGAAGGTTTCAGGTTTTAAGGTAAATAATAATAAGACTAAAATCACACTACTATGCAATCTGGGGAACTTTTTATGATTGGCTGAAAAGAGAATACGGTTAAAAGATAGTTAACATCAATTTAGATGGAAGAAGAAGGAGCAGATAAGGAGGGAGACCCAGGAGAGACAGTATTAAATAAATGGAGGTTGTATAAATGTTTATAGAAGTATATACCGAGAAGGTTAGATAAATAGAAGTATTAATCTTATTGTATATAATACAGATAGGAAAATTTGGAGAGAGGAGTTGCTCGGACATTACCCCTGAATTGTATCTGAAGAGGGATGAGAGGGAAGACAGGAGAGGAGAGAGAAAAGAGTAAAGGAGGGGAGAAGGAAGTAGGAAAGTTGGAGAAGAGGAGAAGTAGGGAGAAAGGGGAGGAGAGTGGTGAAGGAAAGAGGAGAGGAAGAAGAGGGAAGTAGGGAAGAGAAGAAAGAGAGAAAGAAGGTAGAGAAGAAGGAGTGTGGATACGGTGAAAGGGGAAATGGGCGAGGAACACCAAAAGTCATGTGTATGTATTTATTTCATTTTGTTAAAAGTATCTTGTATGTGAGTGTGGAGGGAATGTATGTTAACTTCTGATAAATATTACGGTATATGTATGGGGGAGAGTTTGGAAAAATAAAAAATTATTAATAAAAAAAATAATAAGACTAAAATATTATCGAAAAATATGTCTATGAAGGAAAGGACATCATGGTTAGATTAACAGGTTCTGAAATAATGAAAAAGGTTAAATACTTAGGAGTTTATTTAACAGCTTCTAATGCTAAATTGTATAAAAATAATTATGAGACATTATGGATAAAAGTGCAAAATGATTTAAATAATTGGAAAAAATTACAGTTATCTTTGTTGGGAAGAATTTCGGCAGTTAAAATGAATATACTTCCAAAGTTTCTTTTTTTATTTCAAATGATACCTATTTTGAAAAAAGATGCTAATCTGGAGGAATGGCAGAAGGGGATTAATAAGTTTATTTGGGCAGGGAAAAAGCCGAGAGTTAAATTCAAAATTATGCAGGATATATGGGAAAGAGGTGGATTGAAGGCACCTAATTTAAAATTGTACTATGATGCGGTGGCTTTAACGTTGATTAGTGATTGGCTCAACTTAACAAATAAAAATATTCTTTCTCTTGAGGGATGGGATTTATTATATGGATGGCACGCATATTTAATTTATGATAAAAAGGTTGATCAGGTTTTAAAACCCATATTTTGAGAAGTGCCTTGTTGCATGTCTGGAAGAAATATTATTATAGGTTAAATTATAAAATCCCAATTTGGGGGTTTCCAGGACACATGATCGAGGGAGTATCTAGGGGGTAAATTTGGATAAGATTTCTTATAAGGAATTACTTAGTTTGGTTGGGCAGCATTGGCAATTAAAGCCTTTAACTGAGTTGAAGCAAGAAAATATTGTATATTCTTGGTTTTATTATAACCAATTGTTATTGAGGTGGAGTATAGATCAAAAGGTTGGAATTACTTTAGAGGATGTGAATTTGGTAAAAGAGATTAAAGATCAAAGTCGAGCTCATATAAAAAGAATTTATAATGTCTTAATAGAATTGGATTCTGAAACAGAGTTGGTTAAAGATTGTATGATTAAATGGGCGCAAAATATTCAAGAGCCGATTTTATTGGATACGTGGGAGACAATTTGGGTTAGAAATATAAAATTTACTCAAGCTCAAAATTTGAGAGAAAATTTTTATAAAATGTTTTATAGATGGCATTTGGATCCCCAAAAGTTGTCCCGCATGTATCCGAATTTACAGCCTAAATGTTGGAGATGTGGAAACCTAGATGCAATCTATTTTCACATTTGGTAGACTTGTAAAGATATTAAAGCTTTTTGGATTAAGATTTGGTGGAATATTCAAAAGATTTTTAAGAAAAAGATTAAGTTTACTCTGCAATTATTTTTGTTGGGTATTACTTTAGATTTTGATGTTAAAGAAATTAATTTGATGTTGAACCTTATAACAGCTGCAAGATTATTGGTGGGGCAATATTGGAAGAAAAATTTGTTGCCTACTTTGGAAGAATGGATACTTAAAGTGTCTAATTTAGCAGATATGGCGAAGATCTCCGCCTATTTGAAGGACCATTCACAAGAAAGATATATTATGGTTTGGAGAAGATGGATTGATTATATTCAGAAGAAATATGAAGCTGAAAAGTATTATATTGATTTGGAGTAGATTTTAGATAATTATTAATAGTTTTAATTATATTATTATTTTTGACTTAATTTGTTAATATTTGTATTGAGAAGGAGTTAAAGTGTTTTATGGTTTTGATTGATAGTATAGTTGGTTTATGTTAGTTGGATTATATTTGTTTATTATTTTGTTTTACCCTGTAATCAGCTCTGGGAAATGGGGGACGGGGGAAGAGGTGGGGGGGTTATATTGTAATAAATTTATAAAACTTTTAATAATAAAAAAAGTATCTTCCATAAAGGGCCTACCAAGAAGGCTAGCTTTGCCTATAATTGCTCAGGCCAT